GCCAAATTGGCCTCTAAAAAGCTTGGCGTGCTCAGCAGAGCGGGACAGTATTTCCTGCCGGCACACCGCCTGCAACTTTACAAGGCGCAGGTTCGGCCGCACATGGAATACTGTTCCCATCTCTGGGCTGGGGCTCCCCAGAACCAGCTTCTTCCACTTGACCGCATCCAGCGCAGAGCGGCTCGAATCGTCGATGACCGAGTGCTCTCCGATCGGCTCGATTCACTGGCGCTGCGAAGAGATGTTGCATCTCTTTGCGTATTTTATCGCATCTATCACGGGGAGTGCTCTGAGGAATTGTTCGGATTAATCCCAGCCGCCAAATTTCGTGAACGCACTACACGTCAAACGTCCCGATACCATCCACATCATCTGGATGCTTGGCGGTCCACCACTGTACGTTTCACAAGGAGTTTTTTTCCACGTACAACCTCTCTGTGGAATAGTTTACCACCGGCGATTTTTCCGGACCGATACGACCTGGGGACCTTCAAGAAAAGAGCTTACTCCTTTCTAAAGGGCCGGCAACGCACCCGCAATTCTCCTGGTGTTGCGGTTGATCATGGGCGGCGGTAGTCACTTAACATCAGGTGAGCCACATGCTCGTTTGCCCCTTCTTCTATAAAAAAAAAAAAAAAAGAAAGTCGATGGATGCAGGTGGCTCAGGACCGTGCTTTGTTGTATTATTTGGGGGAGGCCTATGTTCAGCAGTGGACTTGTGAAAGGCTGTAATGATGATGATGATGATGAAGAGCGAGACGGTATTTCATGCTGGACAACCGCTTGCAGCTTTACAAAGCGCAGATTAGCCTCATATGGAATACTTTTCTAATCTCTGGGCCAGGGCACCCCAGTATCAGCTTATTAATTTCAAGTGCTGAATTTCGCTATCATACATCGTACACTGCGTCAAAACTCGAAATTCCATCCTCATTATCTCGATGGCTGGTAGTCCACTACTGTGCAATTTACGCGGAATATTCTGCTTCGCACGACCAATACTGTGGAATTTACTGTCACCTGCGATTATTCCGGACCTATACGACAAACTTATTCCCATAAAGGAGAAGGACACATGTTATATTTATCTAAAACAAGATGCGAGAAATTTATCAAATTAATTACACCAAGCAAGCAATACATCAAATGCGTGAAACGGAAATAATGACAATTACGTGGAATGGAGTACTAGAACATGTACAAACGACTAGTGCCTCGCTGCAATCGTCTAATATAGAGACCTTACTACGGGTGCACCTCTTAAGAATCATTTTATGGATATGTCCAAACAATGCGATAAACATTTTTAAGCGAGGTTTAGATTAGCAACAAAACTTGCAGAAGTCAACTTCTGCAAGCTATTCTTACCGTGTAAACAATCACGTCAAGCCCATATCCGCAAGTTTTGTAACTTGCAGGACTTGCCGCAAGTCGCAAGTGTAAATACTATTTTGAAACTTGAGCAGGAACATGCGGTTTATTTTGCTTGCAAAAAAAATTTAAGTTGCTGAGCAAGATTTTAGGTAAAAAAAAGTTTCGATGATTCTGTGTGGGATACGAAATGCTTATGCAATTTAAAAATTTCATTCTGATGAAATTTTTAAACTACTTAAGGTTCTTCGCACCTTAGTTCTTTTAATAGATGATTAAGGATACCAAAATTATCTCTTTTTAATATCCAATTCTTAACCCACTTTCTATTTTTCCGTTTTTTTTTTTATATGACCTGATGGTAAATCTTAGATTACGAATGAAAATGCAGATGCGTTGTCCGTTAGGACTAAGATGGAATGCCCGTTTCCAGTAAAAAGAGTGTCCGGTTCTCTGCACTCAACATACGACACACAGCAGCATTAAGCTACTATTTTACGCTGGTATTCTATAACTATACCACTTTTATAATGGCAGCATGGCTCTACCACGTATAAACGTTTTTTTAATGCTACTAAATAAGACTACTATAGCAGCAGCACGTATTTTTCTGCAGCTTGGCATGATTATTGATTTCAACTCTCTCTGAATTTAGATCCTCTGACTTGCATGCAAAAAATATTGCCCTTACTAGTGGAAACTCTTTTCCTTTTCTTTGCAGGCCGCTTGTAGAAGCAAATTACGATAGTAATATTGTTGGTAGTGTAAATGGTTCTGCAAGTACTTGCGCAATAACTTGGCAGAAGTTCTTGCAAATCGAAATCCCGCTTTAAATATTGAAGCAAAACCCAAAGATCTGACAGGCTCTCACGAATATCAGCAACAAACTTCAGAACGACGCAAGCGAAACACAAAGTACGAGCATTTTAGCGGCATATATAGCATTTATTTATTTTAGCTAAAATTTGTTAATTGTTTGTTAAAACAGAAACACATGGTAAACAGGTTATAATTGAAGTGTTTGTTGTCATTATTGATAAATTGCTATCTGATTTAGATAAAAGCATGAAAGCATACCAAAATCTAACTGCTGTTTTTGGAACATTTTAACTATGTGATAGATACTCAATCTACGACTTAATTAGCAGTAGCTTTCGACATTATCATCAAAACAATGTTAATCGATTTGGGTCAAATTGGCAAGGTAAAAAACGGGTGCCACACGAACTCAATGATCGCGTCGAGACGTGACTGGACTGAACGACAAGCACACAAATGAAGAAATTTTTGAACCACATTATCATGTAAATATTAAAGCAGAAGAGATTTTGAAAAAAAAAACTCCAATTATGGTCAGTGCTTATACATATGGTTTGGAATATAGCATAGACGGCGAATTTAGAATATATAATGAATTAATTCTAAATCCGACCCTGTCCATATGCCGACCGCTAATCAGCGTTAATCGGTAACGATAAGAAATACCTTACTTAGTACCCACTTTATTAACCTGTATTCAAAAAGATTGGTAGCTTGTACATAAATGCACAAAAAGATAATATAAAAAGTATGAAGTTGTATGCCTAAACTAGTAAGAAGTTGTATGTCACGAAACTCTTTCCTTCCTTTTTAATGTTAATGTATATTTATTTATTTTTTGCAATCTGTATGCTCATAACTATTTATAACTTGAATATTGTAACTTTTCACTAAGTGAAATGTATATTTCTTTTAAGAAAAAAATATCTTTAACCATTAATTACTACAGTTTGCCGAGTTGCTCAAAACGGATATGGGTAGTGTAATTTGTCAATCGCACCAGCCATATCCATTTCCAGAAATTAAATATAAATTCCTAATGGATAATTCACTAGAATCATGTTTCCCCAATTTAGAAATTGCTTAGCGCATTTATTGTCTCTCATGATCAATAACTGCAGTGGTGAACGTTCATTTTCGAGATTGAACCGTATAAAAAATTAATTTAGGGAACACTATGAGTCAAGAACGCCTGAATTATTTCCCTGATTGTTATTGCTTAGATAAATGAATATGGATAGTATTATTTCTAAATTTGACCATAAACTCTTCGTAGGCGTTTAAAAAGTAATAAAAGTAACCGATAAATAAATATAAAATGTATCTATAATTTAAGTACTCCATTAATGAAATATAATATTAGCTATTCCTGAAAATATAATATACTTTGTTATAAATATAAACTTTGAACATTTACAATTATTTGTAAGTATCGTCAGTTTTCAATTGACAATTTCTTTTCATTTTATAGAATAAAGGTGACAAACGAGCACACAGTCCATCTGATGGTAAATGGATGCTGTGGCCTATAGATATCCACATTTTTCTTCATTTAAGAATCAAAACGCAGATTCGTACACTTAGGACTAAGATGAAATGCCTGGTTTCCAGTAAAAAGGGTCTCCGGATCTTTACACCCACCATACGAAACACAGCAGCATTAAGCTACTATTTTACGCTGGTATTCTGTGAGAGCGTGGTCCTTTCCTGGTCAAGCCGACCCTTTCTTGCTACAACTATAATATAGCTACAGCATGGCTCTACCACGTATGATTTTAAATTTTAAATTTGTTATCAAAATAATTTTAAATTACTAGGACAATCTCACGTCTGGCTTTTTGTACTAACAGGGTCTATAGTAAACTACTGTACTATTAAACACCAAAAAATTGTAACCTTGTATTGATCGCAAAGAAACTTATTGAGTACTGAATTATTTTTACCACTTTATACTTAAAAACCCATAGTAGTTCAAGGGCCCCTCGATATAATCTACGGGCCCCGGGCTTGCTTAATCCGGTACTGATGGGTTATTATGGTGGTAATACTGATAATGCATTTATTAATTAGTTAATAGTAATCTTATTTACACCGTTAATATTTGCTAGTTCTAAGTATTCAATCTTAAAATGATCTATCGTATCACTCCAAATCCAAACATTGACTTCTACACCGTATACCGTTTTTATTAAACTTTCACTCAGGTGAGCTATTAAATACCTATTCAAATTTGGAGAAAAAAAATCCTTCCCTAAAGGTGGCAAAAGAGGCGATTAAGTTTTTAATGTAACTATACGTAGAATATTCACTACAACTATACGTAGAATATTCACTACACCATATCTTCCCGAAGGTGTCGTAAGAGGTAACAGAGGGAAAATGAAGCAAGAGATGGATGGGCAGCAGCATTTTCCTGATAACAACTCATAATAATAAAAAACTACAGTTGCCAACACACCTGCCAAGCGTGCCAACTATGGCAAAATCTCTCCATGAGACAATCTATGAGGAAGGCATTATATTCAGTAGTGGACTTTTATAGGTTGTAAAGGATGAATTGGATGGATTTAGACGTCATTGAGATTGTGATATTCCTTAATCTAATAAAAATGTCACTGTTTCTTAGCGCATACTTCAACATAGCACTTCTATAAAAACCTATCGAAAAGGACTCCCAGACAGAAAACGATATCCTTAACTGATCGTTTATATTTTATTATTAATAAGTCAACTGTCGAGCGGGATACCGCCAGACGATAATTTAAATGGTAAAATATCAAAATTAAATTATTAATAAAGTGCGAACTCACCCCCAGTAGAGCTGTATTCGCCGATGTACCGTTTTGTTAGATAACGCACAACCACCGCTGTAACAAAATAAAAAGGAATATTTTAAGAAATTATTAAAATAAAATGTAATAAGATTTTAAAAATTAAACTAAAAAATAGAAGTTAGAATATTAAGTAGATAGAATGGTCATAAAATAATGATTATTATAAAATAATATAAATAGGTACGTCCCGAAAAATGAAAGCATTTCATGTTAAAGATTTAGGAAGCAATTTGTTTCACATCAACAAATCTCTTTGTAAATATATGTTCCAAACACTTCATCTATACACCGTATCATTTGCAGCTGGCCCTCACGCCTCACCTTTAACATTAGTAAATGAATCGTCAATTAAAAGGTCATTACACTCTACTTTCTACTAGAAGCGACTCTTACGTGTATTGATTAGTCTTTTCAAGAGACGTGCATTACTCCTGGAATTTCCATCCTAAAGTACAAATAGTTATCAACGTCAATGACAGGGCATGTTCCTTCAACAGCCGGCAGCAGACTACCGACAAAATGAACTGTGGAGAATCCTGGCAGCCCATCAAAGGGAGCTACGTATTCAAAAAGCTGATTACTTCTCGGACGCCGCTCCGCTACGAACGTGCCCGAAGAATTATGTGAGTACTCGCTTCTTTGATGGATAGTTATTGAAGTTAGAATAGTTTGATAAAAACGCTAGCACCTTTATATTACATAGGTACCTATTATATAATATTATGTCGTACTTTTTATATATTATGTGTCTACTCTCAGAGCTAGCGTTTATATATGTAAGTAATTCTATTTTTTATATTTCAGGTCTGGAAAAGCAGTTACTCATTTCTAAAAATATACGTAAACTATAAATAGATATAAATATTTTAGCTTTATTCATGCTGTCGACCTTAGAGACCTTCGGATGAATAGGCGATGTACCCAGTAATTTCGCTTGTATATACCCGGCACACGACGATACGATCACCGTTGTTTGGTACGTTTTTGAAATAAATAAAATTAAAGTTAGTTGCCAGTTATTTTTATCTCAGAAAAAATACGTACTTACGTGCTGGTAAGTGGTAAAGTAGCTGTAGATTATACTACTAATTTAGCTTTAAATGTCTAGATCTAATCATTTAAGCGTTGGATATACATTGGGTTTGCTTAGAATTCGAACCTATAATTCACAACTCGACGGCTAAATCTACCAACCAATTTTCCTTACCAAAAAGTTACCTTTACACTAGAAACCTATACTGTAAAGTGACGGCGGTTCACATGTATAAATTATACATTGAGAAACACCTAGAACACACCAGATATATGTTTCAAGCGGGAATCAAACCAAGACAAAAGTGACAAGATTGTCGCGGGGTTAAATCGTAGTCAAGCTCTGGCCTATATTTAACAAAATCGGTCAACTCCATCAGCCTTTTTTAACCATCCATCCATTTTAAACTGTAAAAATGCACACAAAACATAGGCCTCTCCTATTGGATCGCCCAATAGGCGGGATATTTGCCATAGTAGTCACGCTGGGTGAGCGGGCTAACAACCGCAGCTTTTTATTATTTTCAGCTATTTTCAGGAAGCTGCTGCTGCCCATCTTCTATTTCTGTCTCCTCTTACGACACCCACTGGATGGTATAGTGTAGTGGATTCCCTTACCCCGCCGCTACACGATACTAACTTTTCTAAACGTACACTACAAATAACATAAAGTAGAAGGTATGGGCTCAGCTCCCTCATTTCTGAAAGGGTTTAGGGCATATATGATACTAATAAATGAATACTATAATACACAATAGAATGGCTGTCAACCTTATTTTGTACGAGGATCGATATCGCCGGGAGCACACGTACAAGCAATTACGTCGTATTATAACTACTACAAACATGATTCGCTGTGTTGACAAACTTTACACATTTTAAACTTTTGATTAATGTTCTTGACACATCAATATTTCTTTATTTTGTTTCTAATATACACAAAATATAAACAGTTTCGACTTACTTGTTGTAGGTATGTCTCCTTTATTTAAATTACATTTCCTGCTGTTATTAACCTGTTTTATTTCGACACGTTGCACAATTTGCTATTTTTTAAATAATTTGCATGCAGCGACGCTTGGCACGAAAATTGGAAACGATTGATTGTGTTGACATTTATAGGTGTGAATTGACATGTTAGTGACATGTTAGTGGCTACACTCCCCCGATCTATTATGTATGTATTATAGTATTCTATGATGAATAAGATGAAATATTTTAGTAACAACCTGGGACAGGACTTGTATTTTAGAAAAACACATTTTTAAGCCACACTTTCGAAGAACTTTAAATTGATACCGTTGTTCACACGATGATGGATTTACTCGATCCGTATTTTAACCTCATTCTGAATTTGTTTGTAATCGCGTTTTATAACTTCGCAAAATTTCAAACACTTGTAAACAAACCACTGTAACAGACAGTTATCGATTTCATTGTGTACATGTTTTACTATGTTGAAGTTAAATGCGTGTGAAGACTATTTGCTATTAAGTCCGCCATATGCTACCTTGTGGATTAAAGTATAAATAAATTTATTACGTAACACTGCGCAGAAGAATAGAAAGCAAAGCTACTAAGGTAAAACATAATTTCTTGAACGAGAATCTTGAGCAAGAAATCGTACTGTCTTGTATTTGACTGTGATGAGCTCTAATCTGAAATGCAACAGAAAGCCTCAGCAGCGTTATTTTACCAAGTATTTCTTTGGAATTCGTTATAAAGAATTGTTTTAAAGAAACATTCCGTTCCAACTTGGACAGTACAAAGGAACAGGTCCCAAGGAAGTCGATCGGCGTTATCATTTCGAACGAATACATGACCCAAAAATGGTTATGCAACTGCAGACTGCCTGCGACGACTTACGCAAGGCGCCATAGTATTGTATGACAATGGACTTGAATTCCTTAAGCATACTAGTTCAGGTTGTTTGTTGGATTTCAGAGTGAAATTGTTTCCTTAATTACTTTAATTAAATTACGTAATTTTTTACTATTTTTAACTATTTTGTGTGGAGTGTTATATGCGTGTGCACGTTTGCAGCAATAGGCAAGGTTATTGTATTTTAACTAAATAAAACATATGTGTCCACGTTGTTTGATTTGAGTAATTTATTTATTTCACTAGGTATGTAACGATAGTCGTTTATAATTTATATACGTTTTTCAATAAGTGATAATGTTATGTTCAGCTAAATCTAGATCACCTCATCTTATTATTTTTATCTACGTTAGATAAAAATAATAAGATGAGGACAAGTCAGTATACCGTGTAATGGGGGATGTACCGTGAAGTGTCGGTGTAGGAATATCAACTACACCATATCGTACCGTGTTTGACGTAAAACTCGATAGAGGCAAAGAAAAAATAAGTCAGTAGAACTTCGATCAACAATACGATCGAAGCAGTAAAATGACCCTAACATTTTAATAATCTATATAAATAATGATTTCTTAAATTTACGCGAACACTACACATTGAATAAAACTATTATTTACGGATTTTATCGCGTTTAATTACTTTATTTTTATTATTATCCCGACGTTTCGGGTGCTTTACAGCACCCATGGTCACGGGGGCTGTAAAGCACCCGAAACGTCGGGATAATAATAAAAATAAATTAAAGTAATTAAACGCGATAAAATCCGTAAATAATAGTTTTATTCAATCTACATAAATAAATTAAATTAAAGCGTATGTTTGTAAAGTCAAAATAACAGCTTTTTACTAAATGCATATGAAAGCATATTATACGTTACTTATAACAAAAACACAATTTTCAAAATTTTTGTCTGTTTGTCTACCTGTCCGTCTGTTTATCCGGCTAATCTCCGAAACGGCTGGACTGATTTTGACTGGACTTTCACTAGCAGGTAGTTGATGTTATAAGGAGTATTTTTTATTATATGCGAGCAGCTGTCTAGGTCTAGGGAAAGAGAGCAGTATCACTGCGACTTAAAAAATCTATCGTGATCGCTACTATGGCTTTAGTTCACTGCTAAGCCCTACGTCGTAAATGAATAGAAAGAGTTGCCTGACTGTGAGCAATTCCACTTCTTCTGGGCTGAGAACAAAGTTTCCCAGATGAGTGTTACGTTGGGTCCTCAATCGGTTAGGATGTTTGAAGGCGTTTCTTCCGTTATGGAACAGAACCGACACATCCTTGAGTTGCTTAGTCCCAGGATGAACATTTGCTTTTTAAGATAACAGTGTCCAGTTAGGGCTCCTGCAAGAATGCGCAATTTATTTTTGCTTAATTGCGAAATTACGATAAATTTACGATTTTATACGTGATAGAGCCATGCTGCAGTTATATTAGTAGTATAGTTGTAGCACGAATAGGTCGGCTCGACTGGGGAAGGACCACGCTCTCACAGAATACCAGCGTGAAATAGTAGCTTAATACTGCTGTGTTTCGTATGGTGAGCGTAGAGAACCAGAGACACTTTTTACTGGTAACGAGGCATTCCATCTTAGTCCTCACGGGTGACAACGCATCTGCATTTAAATTTATAATCGAGGATACATGTAAATGTCTATGGGCCGCAGCATCCACTTACCATCAGGTGGATTGTGTGCTCGTTTGTCACCTTAGCCTATAAAGAAAAGAAAACGCCTAAAAAGTATTATAACTGTGTCAAATATCCATCCTATAAGGCAATTTATGGGGGAGGCCTATGTTAAGCGATGGATTTTAAACAGGCTGTAATGGTTGTCGATAAGAATTGTTTTCAACTATTTCGCCTTAAATAGGAGTTCTATATCTTCTATGACTTCCATCAGGAAGTCGTAACAGCTACAGCCTTCTTTAGTTAAAGCTTTCTTCTCTTTTTGTGTAAAAGAAAAGAAATATTAGTTATACTATTATATACATATTACATATTACATAGCTATGGAGAGGGCTATGCTTGGAGTTTCTCTACGTGATAAACTTAGAAAGGATATCCGCAGTAGAACCAGAGTGAACGACATAGCCCAACGGATTAGTAAGCTGAAGTGGC